AGCAGAGAGGACATTAAGTGCGTAACTGGAACTTTTTAAAATTTCATTTCACGTTTATTGATTTATTTCAGTCATATGAGGGTGCATATGGTATATATGCATGTGAAGGCTCCGTGGCACATGTATGGAAGTCAGAGGACACCATGTGGGTCCCATGCTTGCCAGCAAGCACACCTTCACCCACTGAGTCATCTCACTCACCAAGTTATCAGAACTTTTTGGACATAGGAAATATAGTTAAATTGGGTCTCATCTACTGATTCAAAACTGATTGATGGGACTCATGACTAATTAGACAGGGAGATGAAAATGAGCAAATTCAAAGGTGAAACAGTGGGAAAATGTCCAAAATAAAACATGCTATGAAAATAATTAAGTAAACAAAGAAGCAACACATTAGTACCCTGAGGGGCAATCCCACATCAACATCTTAAATAATGAAGCTCTCAAGGGAGAAGACACAGGCAGAAACAAGGGCACTGGAGGAAGCACCAACAGAAATGCATTAATAAAAACTATAGACCAGTAATTCAAGAAACCCAACAAAACCCAAGAGGAAGACAGATGAATAAAGCTGCAATAAGACACATTAAAAGTAAATCCGTAAGGATGATTGACAAAGACAAAGCCTTAAAAGCAGCCAGAGAACTGGGTATGTCGGGCATAGAATTAGAAAAGAGCTAAGAACTCCAACAGCCTTGGAGCTGGCAGCAATGCAATCAAGAAGAGGGTGAAGCCATGTCCTTACAAAGACCAATGTCCTTACAAAACTCCTGTCAGTACTGAATTCAATGCCGGGGGGAAAAACACCTTGCACAATGGAGCTAGCAGCAAAATAAATAATACAGATGGGATTGTAACTTAAAGTGTAAACAAATGTTCAAATAAATACATGGGGTTCAAAGACAAATTCTCCATATGGTGGTTCCTGAATGATTTGTATAGCGATGATGCTTGTCGGGTAAATGCAGCCCAACTCTCTTCCTAAGTGTAGATGGCACAGAGTAAATTCCTTCTAGAATATATTGTGGAAGGGAGCAAAGAGGATGGTGGCTGCTATGGACAAACCTGACAAGCACAAGCCCAGGTAAGTGACTGAGGCTGCACCAACAGTGACAGTTTACAGGGCTGGGACTTGACTTAGATGTGATGGTGTGACAATGACATTTAACCTCTATGAGTTTTGGATTTTCTCCTAAACTTCACAACTCTAGCCTAATCATGAGAAGAACATCAGAAAGAGAAAAAAAAGTGCCAGAGGCTGGAGAGATGGCTCAGCAGGTAAGAGCACTTGCTGCTCTTCCAGAGGACCGGGGTTCAATTCCCAGCACCACATGGCAGCTCATAACTATTTGTAACCCCAGTTTCAGGTTATCTGACACATTCACACAGATGTACATGCAGGCAAAACACAAATGCACATGAAATGAAAGTAAATAAATTGTGTCTATAGCGTTGGTGGCACACGCTTTTAATCCCAGCACTTGGGAGGCAGAGGCAGGCGGATCTCTGTGAGTTTGAGGCCAGCCTGGTCTACAGAGTGAGTTCCAGGACAGCCTCCAAAACAATACAGAGAAACCCTGTCTCGAAAAAAAAAATGTATCACATTTCAGGGCATCCTACAGAATGAGCATTCCTCAAAACTTTCTCAGATCTGAGTTGTCCATAATGATCTGTCAGTCTCAGTCAGGCAGAGCCTCAGGACACAGGCAGGCTAACTTCACAGTGCTATCCTGGATGAACTTCTAGAATACAGAGAAGGTATTAGGTTAGAGGAGATGAAGCTAAGGAAATACAAATAAAGTTTAGATTTAAACAATATTGGTTCTTTATTTGGAAGCTGCCTGGGAAATGGGAAGTTTTTTCTACTGACTTGGTGATTTTTAGATTTTGATTCATCCCAAAACAAAATGTAATAAGAACAAAATGAAGGTAAAACAAAAAACACTCACATACACAGCATACAGCGTCAAATGTTAAATGACGTTAAATGGCAGTGGACACCATATGAAACGTGGAAATTCATAAACAGTTACTACAGGCATAAACACATGGTTGCCTTATCATTTGGAGCATCTTAAAAGATAACAGGGTGTGGTGATACCCGCCTATAACCACAACATTGGAGAGGTTGAGCCAGGGGAGTCGCTCTTTCAAAGCAAGCCTGGGTTATAGGTTGCAAGATCCTGTCTCAAAACAAAACAAACACACACACACACACAAAACTGGTATGGTGCTGCACATCTTTAATCCCAGCACTCCAGAGGAAGAGACCTTCGGATCTCTGTGAGTTTCAGGCCAGCCTGGGCTAAATAGTGCTACCCTGTCTCAAACAATACCAATAACACAAACAAGATAGTTAACTCTTGGTTTTAGCACAGTGGATAGTTCTACCCCCAACCCCCAAACTCCCTGGTACAGCTCAAGTTCTTGTGGATAACTCAAACAAAGAAAGCTCAACTCAAGCGGAAGAAAGGCAATAAAGCACAGAAATCAAAATGATCTACCCCAGAAAAACCACAAAAAGCCATGGGAACAGAAAGCCAGATTTTTGTTGTTACTGTTTCGGTGCTGGGTGTGGAACCCAAGACCCAGGACATCATATTTCTTAGACAAATGATGCACCATTGAGTTACTCCCTACCAAAAAAGCTAGCTATTTAACAAATAAGAAAAAATAAAGGATACGTCAAAATGGAGCTAAAAGATGACATGACAGAGCCATTACAAAGAAAACATGGAAAACAACAGCTTTATGACCATAAAGTTGACAACTGAGAAAAATGGGACAATGCTCTGAAAAATAACGAGATTCAGCTCCTCAGAAAGCAGTATGAAATATACTAGGTCTATGACAAATCAAACCAGAGCAAGATGTCACTATGCAGCTATCAGAATGGCTATGATTTTAAAACAATGGTGACAGCATCATATGCAAGCAAGAATTGGAGAAACTGGATGTTCACACACTCCCAGTAGATACACAAAATGGTAGAGTCACTCCAGAAAACAATATCTCATTTTATAAAATGAAACATAATTGTCATATGGCTAGCACTTGCTGCCTCAGGCATTTATCCCAGAAAAAGCAAAAACATGTATTTATATAAAAAATTTGCACATACTCTAATGTGTGAATTGTTAAACAAACTGTGGTAGATCCAGTCCATGGAATACTATTTAGCAATAAAAAGAAACAGACCAGCAATGCACACAAGGACTTAGATAATTCTCCAGGGAATTGTGCTTTGGTAATGTTTAAAAGCCAGTATTTGAAGACTATCTACTATAAATATGGTCATTTCTAAAACGCTCTTTAAATTTCACAGTTATAGAGATGGAGAACAAATCACTGGACAGGGTAGCATATGAACAACAGAAGTTTATGTCTCTCAATTCTGGAGGCTAGCAAGTCCTAGACCAGGCACTAGCAAATTCTGTGCCGGAGGAAGGCTCACTCCGCAGAGAGCCATCTCTTCACTATGATCGCAGAGCAAGAAGGAGCAGGATAAACCTCTAGGGCAGTTGTTCTCAACCTATGGATCCTGACCCCCCAGAGGATAGCATATCAGATATTTACATTATAATTCATAACAGTAGCAAATTACAGTTATGACATAGGAACAAAATAATTTTATGGCTGGAGTGGTCACCACAACATGAGGAACTATATTTAAGGGTTGCAGCATTAGAATGGTTGAGAACTACTGCTCTGGAGTCTCTTGTGTGGGGCATGAATCCCATCCATGAGGTCTCTGCCCTGTAACCTAGAAACCGCCCAAAGTGCCCATCACTTTGAGGGCTGGGATTTTAACATCCAAACTTAAGGTAAACATAAACACTGTTGTACCTTGAGTTAGGCAAGCAAACATTTTGCTTGGTTGGTTTTGGGGTGTGGTGGTTGTTTTGAGACACCAATTTCCTTGTTTCCAGAGAATGGCCTTGGATCCCTGATTCTCCTGCCTTAACCTCCCAATGGGCTACATTGAATACCATTATACCTGGCTAGGCAAATGTTCCTGACCCTAGACAGCAAAACACACAACCCACGAAGAACAAGCCCATGAACTGGACTTCACCAAAATAAAACTTGTGTTCTTCATAAGGTGAAAGACAAGTTATAGTCTCAGAAAGAATTTTTTCCAGACCTCTTTGGTCTGTAGACCATGGAGCCTGCCTACCTGCCTTTATTTCTTTTACATTGATTTATTTGTTTATTTATTTGTTTATTTCTCTGAGACAGGGTTTCTCTGGAAATTTGCCTGCCTCTGCCTCTGGAGCAAATCCTACCAGTGGGTGCCACCAGAGCTAGCTTCTTTATTTATTTACCACTATGCTGTTTCTTTTTCTCTCTCAATTCTACGTATATTTTTAAACACACTATAAACCTTTAGAGGTTTTTCTTCATCCAAGTCTGACCTTACTGTAAATCTTTGTTTTTTTGGCCACGTGTCTTATCTGTTAAAACCGCAGCTGTTTAAACTGTAGTTTTTCCAAGATGGTGGGCGTAAGTTTGACTCCACCTCACTGCCTCAGTCTATGCTGACATCCAGCAAAAGCTGCCGGCTTGGAGATGTGGTCACTGCCACTTCCAGCTGTACGTACACACCTTCTAATTGTTAGCAGAGCCTTTTTTTTTTTTTTTAATGCTGAGTCAGGAAGACTTCCTTAAGCCAGCCTCGAGTCTCTGCTTGTCTCTGGCAAAACAGAGCCCACCTGAGAAAATGCTGCTACCAAAAAGCTGTGCTTCTCTCCATTATTTTGTTTCTAAAATCCCTTTTATACTTTTGTCATTTTACGTGGAAATTCAATCCCTCTCCTGACAACCATCTGTAGAGTAAAGCCTTCCTGCCAGCCTGGTTCCAGATCCCCATCAGTCCCAAATAAACACACAGGAAGCTATATCAATTATGAAGCTGTTGGCAGTTTGCTTGGTTTCTGACTGACTATCTCTGACTTAAGTATTTACTCCATAATTGTTCATCTAAGTATTTCTCTTACCAGAGAAAGGATCCGGACTTCTTACCCCAAGAGCATCTTGACTCCCTGTGGTTCTCCTTCCCAGAATCCTCCTCAACTCCTAGTCCCACCTATCTTGTTTCCCTATTGGCCAACTGTGCTTTATTCAACAACCAATAAGAGACAGATTTACAGAATGGCATCTCCCATCACAGTGCCCTGTGTTTCAGAGGAAGGTTTGGTATTGAGGACAAATAGGGTCAAACAGTACCTGAAGACAATGATGAGGACAACTTGACTTCAGAACTGTGCCTCCCAAACAGTAGTCTTGGCAGGAAGCAGCAGCAACGTCCCCTAGAAACTTGCTGGAGACATCAGCTCTCACTCCCGTGCAGACCTACTGAACTTGAGCCCAGAGGTAGGCCCACCTGCTGTGCCCCATCAGCCTCCTGGTTACTATAAAGGCTTGAGAAGGGGGCCTTGGCCTTGAGTGTACACTGGACTCATGGGGAGCACTTTCAAAGCCAAGGCCAAGATAGAGATCTCTTCCCAGAGATCTCTCTTAGTGACTGGTTTGTTCCACCTGGGCTCAAGCCTGGAAGCTAACATTCCACCTCAGGGGTATATCGGTTTCCCAAAGACAGTCAGGAAAGATCACTGCCTGATGCTTTGCTCACGGATGCAGTCTCTCCAGAGGTGACTGAACATCCCTGCTCCAAAGGACACCCTACACCCACATGATTCCAACATACCCGCCCATTTTAAGAACCACTCATTTGGGAATGTTTTACCATCAGGTGTCCTCAGAATTGCCTAACAGGGCTAAGCCTCTAACCCGGGACCTCCTTCAGCCCATATGCTGTTCCATCAGCCAATCAGCAGAAAGCATTATCCATGTGCCAGCTCCACTGAGCGAGTGCTCATCTAAAAGATTAAAAATGGAGCAAGGGGTCTCTGCCTTGGCCACATGTGCTCACGACAGTGTGAGGACAGGATCAATAAAATAAGAAGGGGGATGCGTGAGGAAGAAATAGAAGGGTTACTTTTTTTTTTTTTAAGTGCGTTTCAGATAATAAAGGAAGGTGAGTCAGTCAAGATCTCTTTGGAAATACCCAGGAAGATCTGCCCACAGAACAATAAACACGTTTCCCTTCCCACGCTACCCCTGGCCCACTTATTCCTAGGGAGGTTAAACAAACAATTTGTTTTGTCTTTTGAAAAACGGGTGTAGACAACCATCACCAGGGAGAAAAATTAAACAGCACTAAAGCCAGCTGAGACACTTCCAAGAGAGATAAAGGCCAGAAACAGAGTAAACTAGGCCGGAGAGAAGGGCGATGGGAGAGATTAACCCGTGCACAGACTGTGCAACCTGCCAGCTGTAGTGGCTAGGGCCAGAAGGGCGAGGCCTGGAGGCAGCTGCCAGGGCCAGGGCTGAGCTGGCTCTTGGAGTGCTAAGTCAACAGCTCCAAAGCATTGTTCTGGATGGAGCCTTGGGCTCTCACCAGTCTGGTAAATGGAAGTATTGTAATTACTTGTTTACAAGTCACTCTCCTCCTCTAGAGAAGGACTCCCAAGGAGCTGAGTTGACTGTCACCTAGCCCTTGGCTCCTGGCAGCTGGCACAGACCACCTGGCATGAACCACCTGGCAAGTGACCCTACGGGACATTTTCTGTGGCCTTACATAAACAGCCTATTCTTTAGAGGGGATGGAGAGCGTTACATAAGATTCCGGCTAATTTCCCATGTGCCGGTTAGCAAAGGGAACAGGGACCTTCATTATCTGAAGGTCCAGCCCTGCGCTTTGAGTTGCACGGTGGATTGAATGTTGTGTCCCCTCCCCCACTAATGTTTCGTGGGCCTCAGAATAGGACCTTGTGTGAGATAGGGTCCTTGGGTTTAATAACGGAAGTAGAAGTGGAGAGAGACAGCACCCTAGGATAGACGGGGCCCTAGATCCAAGGAGATAGGAAAAGACACAAAGAGAGGAGCCACAAGAAACAGACGGAGGGATATTGGCACATGTCACGAAGCTCTCGGGGCTTTAAGAAATTTTCCCTTTAGCATTTAGAGGGACCATGGCTCAGCCAATGCCTTGATTTCAGGTTTCCAAGCTTCTAGGACTGTGTGACAATACATTTCGCACGTCAGAAGCCAAACCAAGTCAGTAACAGTTTGACTTGGAGGATAGGCGTGCAGGTGGTAGGAGCATTGGGGTTTAGTCCTCACAACTGCCTTGGATAGAGGTGGCAGTGCACATGGCGACTAAAAAGAGGGAGGGGCTTGGAGTGTCATTCAAGTTGACACAGCCAAGGACACAAATCAAAGGTTTTCACTTTCCTACTCCAGTCAAGAACATTTCTAAAGGAAGGATATGAAACAGGGAACGCAGCAAGCACTGAGTGACACAGCACACCCACACCACGGCCAGAGCCCCATAGACACCACTGAAGACTGGGAGGCCCCATCCTGCTCCTCGGAACACGCTGCCCTGCATCTCAGCAGAACTCCTGTTTATGCAGAGCTCTGTTCATCACCTTTTCAACTACAAAGACCTAGTGTAACTGGCTTTCTTTTGGGCCACCAACTACCTCCTGAATCATGGACACTTATTATGAGTTACGAATGCTCAGCCTTAGCTCATTTCTCTCTAGCTCTTATAATTTAAATTAACCTGTTTCTTATCATCTACGTTTTGCCTGGGGGCTTTTTAGCTTTCAGCCTGTATGTCCTATTCCATGTCTGGCTAGCAGCTGCCTGGCCCTAGTCATCCCCCCCTCTTTTTTTTTTTTTTTAAGACAGGCTTTCTCTATAGCTTTGGAGGCTGTCCTGGAACTCACTTTGTAGACCAGGCTGGCCTCAAACTCCCAGAGATCCACCTGCCTCTGCCTTCTGAGTGCTGGGATTAAAGGCATCACCTGGCATGTCTCCCTTGTTTCTTCCTCTTTCTCTTTTCCCTTCTCTCTTCAGTCTAGATTCCTCCTACTACTTATTTCTCTGTCCTCCATTTCCACCTATCTCTCTACTGCCTAGCTATTGGCCATTCATCTTTTTATTAGACCAATCAGGTGCCTTAGGCAGGCAAAGTAACACAGCTTTATATTGTTAAATGAATGCAGCATAAACAAATGCAACACACCTTTACATAGTTAAAGTTTTATTCTGAAACATAAAGAAATGTAGTACATTTTTACACACTTGAAGGAACATTCCACAACATAGAGAGACAGAACGCAAAATCAAAGACCACGTGAAGGAGGAGCCTGTGTGCTGGACAAGGTGTGTGAGTTCTCCTTGGAAAACAGTCACCTTCCTCTAGCATCACTTCGATGACTATGTTTTAAGACATAATAAAACAATATTTGTATCTGACATTAGCATGTTAAGATCTCAAAGCAAAAATCATAAGGAGGCAACATGCACATGTACTCACATACACAGGCACACACACATACACATACAAACAAGTACATACTCACACATACACAGGAAAAACACATACACATACAAGTGCACATTCACATATACACAGGCACAAACACATACACCTACAAGTACATACTTACCTATACACAGGCACAAACACATACACCTACGAGTACATACTCACACTTGCATAGGCACATGCACACACACACACAAGTACATACTCACACTTGCATAGGCACATGCACACACACACAAGTACATACTCACACTTGCATAGGCACATGCACACACACACTACTTTTTTTCCTTCTCACTCTTACCCACACTTACTCTGATTGGTGTTTAGAATGGCTGAGTCCAGGAAGCACAGTCTTCCACATCTGGAATCCCCTTTTCTCCTACTCAGCAGAAAATGCTGAAATCTGTAAGAGAAAGTGCTCATTGCCCTGATTTAAAGATTATTTAAAGCTCCTGTAATATAATGGATTAAAAGTTTAAAAACAAAACAACCCCAGTTGTCAAAGAGTATGCTTCCTTGCCTCCCTGCTGACCCACGGGGGAAACTGCAGAGTCTCCTGCTTAGCAGTCAGCAGGTAACTGGCTCTCATGGCACTTCCTAGAATGGGCAGCCACAGAGCGAACCACAGAGGACTGCTTTTGTGTGCTGGGGCTTTTTCAGGGACAGAGATGGAGACAGAGTCTCTCTCTATATCCTTGGCTGTCCTTGAACTCACTCTGTAGACCAGGCTGTCCTGGAACTCATAGAGATCTGCCTGCCTTTGCCTCCTGAGTGCTGGGATTAAAGGTGTGTGCCACCACTGCCTGGCTTTACAAAGGACTTTTGAAATATTTGATGAATTTTAAGCCTGCAGACATCTGGTGTGCCCATGCTTAAAACTCCAAAACTCCAGCAGTGGAAGGCCGGGCTAGTTCCCTTAGAGCCCAGATCAACAGACAGGATGATCCAGGCTCTCCTAGTCAGGCTTTAAAAATGGACCTTAAGGTGTCTGCTGTCAACCATCAGAGAGTGGCAGGTCACAGGACAAAAAAGCAGCAGTAGATAAGGGGGTCACAGCCAGGGCTTGATCTCTGAGCTCAAGACCCCTGCTAACCCTAACGAGTCACACAGAAGGGGACAGACTCCAGGGTTCAGAGGTTGGGGTCTCACAGTCCTCTTCTCGTCCATCCCCTGTGGTTCACATCTCTTCTAACCTGCATGGCACAAGCCAATGACTCTATTCTGCAAAGACCATTTTCTCTTTACAGAGAATCAGCATTTCGAGTGTGAAGCAGCAAAAGTTCACATGTGTATTGTGTGTTTTAGATTTTTCACATGGGTTGAAGAAGGGGTTCAGAGGTTAAGAGTACTTACTGCTCTCGAAGAGGGCCCAGGTTCAGTTCCCAGCCCCCACACCAGCTTACAACTTACAACTTACTGTAACTCCAGTTCCAAAAGATCTGGTGCCTCTGGCCTCTGAGGCCATACCCCACCCCATTCCCCGAACATTCACTTCCTTGGTTTGGCTACATTCCACAGCAAAGCACATAGGACTGTCACTCCTACAGTTCCTGTAACTGAGACTAGGGGGAGAAACTCTGCTTTCTGACTTTCAGGAAGTGTCTCCGTATGTTTCAGAAGACTGTGGGACTCTGACAACAGCCACA